AGAGCAGGAAGATCATGCCTTTCACAGCTACTTGACCATTATGACAAAATCACTGAGGCATTAGAAGAAAAACAGAATGCAGATGTTGTATATACAGACTTTGCAAAGGCATTCGACAAATGTGACCAAGGAGTGATTGCACTCAAAATAAGGTCAATGGGCATAACTGGTAAAGTAGGATGCTGGATACTCAATTTCCTGTCAAACAGAACACAAAGAGTAACAGTCAATCAAGTAAAATCGAATCCGAGCGCAGTTAAAAGCTCTGTACCTCAAGATACAGTCCTTGCACCACTGCTGTTCCTTATTCTCATATCAGATATAGACAAAAATACCAGTCACAGCTTCATGTCATCCTTTGCAGATGATACAAAAATCAGCATGAAAATTACCTCTGCTGAAGACTTTGAAAAACTACAAACAGACATTAACAAAGTTTTCGATTGGGCAGCAGAATATAACATGGTGTTTTAACGGTGATAAATTCCAGGGCGGGAATTTGCGGCGGTGTGGTTTGAGCTTCAGAGGGTTCGTGTCGCCCGCGGATCGATGATCCAGCTCCGTTCGGACTGCTTCCTGGTGGTTCATTGCCTGAACCGAGGGGGGTTCGATGCGGTCCTTGGCTCTTTGGCGCTGTTTGCTTCAGGTGACTCATCTGTTGAGTTTTCGGGGTTTGGCTCTCCTGGCGGCTCATGTCCGGAGAATGTCCAATGTCCTGGCGAGCGGCCTGTCCATGTTCGTTCCCCCTGTCCATGGAATGGACAGTCGATGCCGGCTCATTCAGTTGGCACTGCCAGACATTTGGGCGCCTGAAGGTGGACCTCTTCTCGTCGTCATGGTTGAGGTGTCTTCCGGTATATGTAGCGCTCTTCCCCAACCGCGAGGCCATCGGAATCGATGCCTTCCGGCAGGACTGATCGAGGTGGGGGTTCTTGTACCTCTTTCCCCCGGTTCAGCTGTTGCTCCAGGTCCTGGCTCGCTTTGAGAGTTACCAAGGGCGAGTAGTGCTTTTGGGCCCCGTGGTGGCCAGCCCAGCCATGGTTTCAGGCGCTGCTTGCCCAGTGTCTGAACCCGGAGGGTTTTTCTGCAGCTCCGTCTCTTTCAGCAGATCGGCCCGTTCCGTTACGAGACTGGTTTGCTCTTCTCCTCGAGTCTTCGCGTTTGGTATTTTTGACTCTTGAGTTCATCACCATCTGTATGGTTATCAGGTGGCTTCATTGATGGTGTCCCACCTGCGGGCTTCGTCTTGGCGACAGTATGAAATTTCCTGGCGGTCCTTCCATTTCTTTTTGACTCTTCGTCGTTGTACTTTGCTTTCAATTCGGTTGGTGGTGTCCTTTCTCACTTGGTTGTTCCAGGACCATCATCTTATGCTGAATACTATCGCCTCGTATTGTGCGGAGCTGGCGGAACCGCTTCAGCTTGCTTTCGGTATAGATGTTACTTCTGCACCTTTCGCAAGCTGTCTCATGCGATGTTTCACCTCCGGCCTGCTCATGTGCCTCCTGAAATGTCCTGGTCTTTGGATAGAGTGCTCTCTCTCTCTTCTTCTCAGTTTATTGTGGCCCCTTCGGTTCAGGATTATTTTTCTAAGGTTCTTTTCCTGTTGGCATTGACCTCTGGGGATTGGGTCGGGGAGCTTCATGCTCTCTTGCGGTGCAGGGGTTTCTGCTCTTATTGGTTGTGGTTATAGGGTTGTTCGTCTGTAGCTGTCTCCTTCTTTTCTGGCAAAAGACGAGACTGCTGCCTTCTGGAGGAGTCCTTGGGTTGTTGATGCTTGGTTGGTCAGGCCGGAGGTGCATCATGTATTGTGTCCAGTTGTGGCCCTCCACCGTTATTTGCGTGCCACGGCTTCTGTCTCCGGGTCGGTTTCTGTCTGGTTCGGCGGTTGCAGCCAGTTTTCTCGACTTTAAGTTGAGATGTGAGCACTGACCGCCTCCCAGGTAAGTCCCCTTTCTTTCCTTTTCGTCTTTGGTGAAGTAGCTCCAGGGAGCCGAAGGGGGCTTTCCCCAGAAAACCAGTGCTAAATGGAATGAAATACCATTTTCTGGTTTTTCATTACATTTAACGGGTGGCATTCCGGAGGCACCCCCGGCAACCCTCCTTCGCTCCCTCCCCCCTCCCTCTGGTCGGCGGTTTTTGCGTGTTTTGACATCCAGCCTCAGAACTGCAGGGTGGATTGCTGGCGCAGGGATCTGGAGCTTCCCCTTCCTTCTTTCGGGGAGGGTGGGAGCTGCTCATGTGGGAGCATGCTGCACGGCTCGTGTGACGTCATGCTTGTTTGCTAGTTTTCATTTGGGGAGTTCTGTCCACTCGTTTGTCTAATTTTGTTGTTTTAACCAGAATGGGGATTTGTTTTGGGGCATTTACCTCTCTGGGTGCCTGGTCAATGGAAGATATAGAATGCTCGAAAATCACATTTGCATTCTCTAGGCCATTGCTTCTCGTGCCTCTCTGAGGGGGCCAGGTTTTGGCTTGTGGTCCCCGGTAGGCCTAGAACTCCAACAATTTCGACTGATGCCAAAATTAGGGATAATCATATCAGCCTGGATAGCTCCGCGGAGCCTCCGGGACTCGCCTAGAAAATGGCGTTTTATTACATTCAGCGCTGTTTTTTTTTCTTATCTGTGGCTAGTTAGCTTCAGGGAGTCGATGGGGCTTCCCCCTAGAAAACTAGCGTTGAATGTAATCAAATGCCATTTACTGGGAGAGTCCCGTAGGCTCCCTGACACCCTCCCTCCCTCCGGTCAGCAGTTTGTTACATCATGCCAAGAACTGAGGTGGTGGGTAGTCGGCTGCTTTTAGTGGTGGGGGATATGCTAATGAGTGGGAGTACTCATTGAGTGCACAGTTGTTAGTTTCTTTTCTTTCAGCAGTTGTTTCTTTGCTCTTTCTAGCTGTTGGTCACAATTTTACCGGCTACGTGTTTGTTTTGGTTTGCCTATTTTTCTGGTTGCTTACACTGGTCGTTGGCAGAATATAACATACTTTAACCCTCAAACCGCTAGGGGCCCAAATGGATTCAACACCCACAGGCGCAACAATAACAAAAAATCCAAAAAATTCTTTCGTCTTATACAAGTGTTCATTTTTGTTCCCTGATCACGGAAAAAATAACAAAAAAATCGTAGGTGGCCTATTTTAGCCGCAATAGGGTAGGGAAGTCTGGCAAAAAAGGGGCGTTGACAGAGCCTTCGCCAGACGAGGTCTACTCCGCCAGAGCTGTCAGGCGGCAGTTGCCACAAATATATTGTCTAATTATTTCAATGTCTCCGATTGATTTTTGCTTAGTTTTTTTTTTTTTTGCAGTAATATTATTCAATATAGTGAATTGTGATATATTTATATAATAAAATGTGTGAACCATCGTTGTACTCAAAATTATGGTGTGCATATTAGTGATTCAATTATTATGTTCGTAAAACAATAAACAAATAGTTTTGCTGTTGTTACACTATAATCACAGGTTATATATAAGTATTTGCATGTTTTGTTCACCATAACGAACCACTAAGTTGGTCTTGCGAGTCAAAAAGCAACGAGGAGTGACCGCCACACACCAGCCAGCCATTTGTTGCCACTCCCTCACTCGCCCTCATTCTCCTCCCACAATACTGTTTTTGCATTTATTCACTATACACAGACGTTATATATAAGTATTTACATGTTTTGTTCACCATAACTGTACATCTAAGCTTGTATGGTGAGTAAAGACACGAAGACGTAGATACTCACACAGTCAGCTGGTGGTGGCCGCTCTCAAGGCTAGATGCACTAATATTTCTCCTCCAACAATATTGTTTGTGCTGTTATTACACCATATACACACATTATATATAAGTATCTACCTGTTTTATTCACTATACCTGTTCAAATAAACTGGTATGGTGCCCAAAGACCATAGTGGCCACCAGTAAACAACATGATAAGCCGTGCAGACGACGCATCTCCCTCACCAAAATGGTGGCTCCCAACCTACTCCTCTTGCTGTTATCTCACACTATACACACGTTATATATAAATATCTACATTTGTGTTCCCCATAGCGAACCACTAAGCTGGTATGGTGAGTGCAGTCAATAAAAGGTGGCCATACACAGTCAGAAGACGACGCCACAACCCTCCCTCTCACAGCCTCCCTCCATGGAGCACAGCGCTAAATATCACCACAATCCTGCTATTATCAGGAACCTGGTCAGTTTTATCACAGTCTGGGGTCTTCTATAATACTATTATCACTAAATAATAGCAGGATCATATATATTATGGCATTTGTAGGTGATGCTGTGGTCAAAAGCTGAACAGCGGTGCTGTGAGCTCATGCTGCGTGCACCAGCCTTGGTGGCTTGCTCATTACTGACGCTCTCACACCCAAGAATGTTTGCCTGGATTTTTTTTTCTAGGTGGCATTTGGAAACTATCAGTCATGGCTGTACTATAGCTGCCCCTATTCCAGGCGGGGCGTTTAAATTATAGCGCTAGACATGAAAGCATATATAAATGATGTGTGCGGTTTCGGTTTTGTCACTGATATCACATATACATGATATGCGCGGTTTAAGGGTTAAATGTAAAGTGCTCATATGCCAATGCTCCCTGCGCCTCTCTGAGGGGGGGGGGGGGGCAGCTTCTGGCTCACGGTGCCCGGTAGGCAAAAATTTCCTGTGACTGATGACCCAAACTAACAAAGCACTACCTGTATATCAGTTTGAATAGCTTCAGGGAGCCTCCGGGATTTTGCCCAGAAAATAGTGTTTCATTACATTCAGTGCTGGTTTTTTACATTGTCCAAAATGCTCTGTGTACTAATTAGTGGCTTTATGCATTGTACTTAACTTACCAATGATTCATCCATTGTTCATGTATCATTTGTCTGTACACTTGTATAAAAAATATTATTATACAAATTTTCATCCAAAATGGTAATCAAAGCAATAATGGAGTGAGTAATGACCATGTTGACACTGTACTGCAGGTTATGAGCATTCATTGTGTTGCAGGATATGTAGGGTCTGAGGTGGACATGAGTGATGCCTTGAGGAGACTGGGGGACACCGGGGGCAGGCCAGAGGACAAGGCACTTAGCGAGGCTTTCCACAAATTCGCTGTGGTCATCCGGGAACACTCTCAGCTACTCCAACAGCTGGTAACTCATATACCTGACACATGAAATTTGAACAAACCAGTAATATATATTCATGAATTTATCCATTTGCTCTTAATATCAAATATATTGATGTGTATATGCTTAAGTCAAGTGCCATGAAATTTCTTTTTTATCTTTTTATATACAGTGCAAATTTTTTTTTTTTGTCATTCATCATTTTGAAGTTTGTTTATAATTCAAGATTTTTAATGACTGCTGTTTTCAGATTACAAATCAACGGAATAATTTGCTACATCCTCTAGACAGTGTTTTGAAGGGAGACCTTAAGGGTGTCAAGGGAGACCTCAAACAACCTTTTGAGAAGGCTGCTAAAGTTTATGATGCCAAGTTTGCAAAGATCGAGAAGGAAATGAAACAACAAGTAAGCCATATTATTAAATCATTGAAATATAAATTTTTGAAGTACTTATCAAAGTATTGTATTCTTAATTAGATTGTTTCTGGGGGGAGCCCCGTCGGCTCCCCAGAGCTTTACCAGGCTGATATGCTAATGTCAGACTTTGGCATCAGTCATGTGTATGGAGTTCTAAGGCTTACCGGGGACCATGGCCAGAACCTGGCCCCCCTCAGAGAGGCAAGGGGAGCAATGGCCTATAGAAACCCCCGTGTGGTTGGAAGCATTCTATGTCTGCCATCGACTGGGTCAAGCATCCAGAAAGGTAAGCATTCCAAAACAAACCCCTATTCTGGTAAAAATTGCTACCTAAAGCCGAACTAGTGGACAGAACTCCTCAACAGAAAACAAGCAAACTAGTATGACGTCACATGTCACCGCGCCGCTGTCTGCGCAGCTCCCCCCTCCCCGGGAGGGGAAAGGGGGAGCCCCAGACCTCCCACGCCGGCTATCCACCCATCAGTTCTTCGGCTGATGCTATAGGCACCGGTTATGTGCTCTGGCTCCAGTAGTTGTTTCAGCACTGTACCTGGAGTGTGGTGTCTGTCTTCTAGGTGGTGCGTGAGCCGGGAGTGATTCTCCAGTACTCGGGTTGCATGCGCCTAGGGTTCCCTTCCCTAGGTGCCCTGTAAGTACTGCCGTTGGGGCTTGAGGCCACCTTCCACAAGTTCCTTGGGTCCTGCCCCTGCTAGGCCGTTTACTGCTTGGTTTTCGGCCGCTCTTTGTGTGCTCGGGTGTTTTGTCTCCCTTATTCGCCTTAGAGTAAGGGGCTGTTTTGCACTGGTGGGGCGCAGGGTACTGTGCAGCTTGTCTTTACCAATCATGGCAGCCGGCTCTGTTCCGCTTGGGTACGCTGTCCTCTTGCGGGGTTTTCTTTTTCTTTTTGTTTATCTGCCTGGTGGGGGGGTGGGGGTCTGCCTTTGTTCTTGCCCCTTGTGTCCCTTGTGTTCTGAGTATTTTCTGGTGGTACCCGCTGCTAGGTCCCCCGTGAGTGTACACATCCTGGGGGTTCAGCTCTTAGAAAGTTGTTTGGTAGCTTTGGGTGCCAGTTAGCAGTACCCTGCCTGGGATTACCTGAGCGCGAGTCCTCTTATAGTAAATGCTCAGGACCCTGGGAAACCCCTGGGGGCGCGCAGGTCTGATGGATGTGACCCCAGAGTCCCCCCTTGCTTCCAGCGAGTTTGAGGGTTGCTCTCGCCCTTTGTCTCTGGGTGACTCTGTTTTGCCTCCGTCTGCTGCCTGTGGTGTCGGTGACACCTTCGACCCGGAGTCCTGTGAGTTTGGTTGCTCGTTGTGGCTCGGTTACCCAGTTGTGCTGACTAAGTGCGTGCGGGCAGCAGGGGCATTGCACTTTGAGCCTTGGTGGTTGCAACGCTTTCGTGGTTTACTTCCCGGGAGCCCCGGGGCTGCCCCGTTTTGGTTCGTGTTGGGACTTGGGAATGTTGGTTGCTTCGGTTCCTTCCACGCCCCCTTGTCTTTCCCCTGGATCCTCCTTCCTGCCTGCATCCGGTTCCTTACCGTCTGTAGGTTCGGGGCGGGGTTTGCTGGTGTTAAGACTTGGGCAGTCTCAGGGAATTCCCCTTCCAGGGTAGTGACGGGGGCATTTGAGCCTGTTCCTCCAGCCGTGTTGTAAGAGTCTGCCAGTGGGCTCCCTTCCTTAGTGTTTTCGCGGCTGCCCCGGTTTTCTGGTACGGCTGGGGTTTGGGGGGACGGTTCGGCTCCGGGGCCTGTCATGTAGGTTCCTGGGGCTGGGGAGGGGCTGACTTGGGGGGCCTTGGCCCTGTAGGACCCCGTGGTTTTTTTTTAATCCCCCTCTAGGTGGGGCTTGTGGTTACGCGGAGTGGGGTCTTTCCTCCCCACTTGCCGTACGTGCTGTTGGGCGTTCGGCCCCTCCCTGGGCTCAGTTCCTTGGCCTTTGAGTCGGTTGGTTGGTTCAACCTGTGGGTGGATGTTTCCTCCCACCCTTTTTGGGACGGTGTTTTTGTCATGTTTCCCCGTTCTTGGGGTTCTACGTGAATTCTGGTCTCGGGTGCGCCTGCGCCTTTGTGTGCCTTTGGGACTAGTGTTGGCTTCTGTGTTCTCGAGGGTTCGGGAAGGTTTTCGCTATTTCCCGCGTTATTAGAACGTCTGTCGGCTCCTCGTCCTTGTCGCTGTTTTGGGCTACTTGCGGTGGGCTGCTTGTGGCCAGTGGCCCGGCTTGGGCTACTTTTGGCCCGGTTGGGCTATTTGTGGGCCGGTTGGGCTATTTGTGGGCCGGTTGGGCTATTTGTGGGCTGGTTGGTTCTACTACTATTGGGCCGGTTGGGCTACTCGTGGGCCGGTTGGGCTACTCGTGGGCCGGTTGGGCTACTCGTGGGCCGGTTGGGCTACTCGTGGGCCGGTTGGGCTACTCGTGGGCCGGTTGGGCTACTCGTGGGCCGGTTGGGCTACTCGTGGGCCGGTTGGGCTACTCGTGGGCCGGTTGGGTACCTTTTTGGGCTCTGTCTTCGCTTCGTTGGCTGGTTTTATTGTTCCTGCTTCCTCTTTTGGCTACTGTTCTAGTGCAGTAGTCCTGGTTGGCGCCTTCCCGCAGAGAGGGTTGTGCGGTTCGGCCAGTGTGTCATGCGCATGCGCAGTGGAGTTTGTTTTGGTCTGGGCGGTGTGTTTCAGTGCAGGCGTTTGGTGCCCTTTTTGCTGAAGTGCTTCGCCTCTCGCTCTTCTCCCCTCGCTCTTCTCCCTTGCTGCGGTATGTGCCCCTTCGCTCCGGGGGTGTCCTGGTTTCCAGTTGTGGGGAGGCCGCCGAGGTTTTCCCTGTGTCATGGGTGTGGGCCGCCTCCTTCGCCTCTACCCTGCTCTCCTGCGGGTCCGGCTCTGGCGGTGCTCCCAGGTTCTTCTGGGCACGGTTGAGATGTGTCATATTCATGCCACCGTTCGCCAGGTGTGTTTCTGCGGTCTGGCGTCTTTTGGCTGGGCGCTGGATGCGGTGTTGTTTATATACCCATCTTTATTTAGGTATATTTTGTACGACTGAGACCGTTCGCACACCAGTGACTGTCCCTTTTTTCAACCCTTCCTGTCCCACTCATGTGCATGTCCAACCCATGCTAGTCATTCAGAGGACCCACCTTTTTTCGTGTTATGAGGTGTGGGGGTTGTGGTGTTGGTTCTGTACTCACCTGGTAGGGCTCCTGGCTGTGCTTGCAGGGTTTGAGCTCTGGCTCTTGGGTCCCGCCTAACTGGTAGAACTTGCGGGATAGTACCAGTGGAGTGCAGTGGTGCTATAGGCACAATAGGGGAACACTGTATAACCATCAGAGGTCTGCGGTTGTTACACGACCTCCTTGCAAGCATATGCCTTATTGCTGGTACATCCGTGGACTTCCGGGGCACATTAGCCTGTTTTTGAATAGAAGTTCCGGCCCATCCTGGTTGTGGGGGTATGTGGGCCTGCGGGCCGCTCCAAGCAGCTGCCTGGTGGGCCTCCCTCTGGCTGGTCTAGGCTTGGGCTTGGGGTGTAAATGGGCTCCCAATACCCCATCCAGCGGGTATCGAGCGGGGTTTCTCCGCCGTTGGTTGCCTGGTGTGCAGGTTTCTGGGCCTGCTGGGTTCTGTCGTGTCTCCGTTGGCCCTGTCTGGGGTCTGCCTGCTCCATTCTGCCTTTGCAGATGCGAGTTGCTATTTACATGTTGCGGTGGTGCCTGTTGCTGCTACTGCACGTGTGCATTGGTACCGTGTTTCGCGGTGGCGTGTCCTTGTTCCTGTGTCTGGTTGTGGTGTGGCACTTTGCTGCTGTTTTGTGCCTAAGGTTTGCGTATGGGGGTTTGCTTGTAGTTTTTCATGGTCTTCGGGTCCCTGGTTTGGCCCTCTCATGTGCGTGGGGTTTTTCTGTCCCTGCCTGATTGACCACCCCTGGTTGTTTTCCTTTTTTTTTTTTTTGAGCTTCTGCCCTTTCGTCCTGTCTCTCCCCAGTCATTTTCCTTGCATCTCCTTTGGTCTGTTTTGCCTGCACTTGCTGCTATGTTGGGGGCGTGGTCGATTTCCACCGCTTCATTTTCTTGTACGTTCCCTTGTTTCCTCCTCTGCCGCAGGGGTGTTCTACGTGTGTTCCTTGGCTTCTTGGGCGTTTTTCAGCCTGTGTCCTGTGGTGTGCTTCGTTGTCTCGGTCTTTTGCAGTTGCTCGTACCCTTTGGTTCGGGTACTGTTTTCTGGCGGCAACCTTTCCGCCTTCTTTGGTTTCCTGGTTTGCCCTGCCAGTTGGTTTTTCGGGGTCTTGCGATGTCTCGCGTCGGACCCATTGTTTCTGAACTCCTGGTGGGCTTGCTTGCTTTGGGGAGTTTTTCTGTTCGGCAGACGTTCCATCTCCTTGTTCCGCCTGGGTTTCGGTGGTCGCGCCCGAGATCTTCCCGCGGCTCCGCCTTTTCCTGAGCTTGGAGGGGCCTTGTCGGGGCTGCTTACGTTCTGCCTTGCGGTCTCGCCTCCGGTTGGTGGTCGGGTGGCTTCGTGGTAGGTGTCCCACCTGCGTACTTCTCTTGGTGGCAGTATGGGGTATTTTGGCGGTCCTTCCTTTTCCTGTCCCTTCTTAGGTCGTTACTCTAGTTAGCGTTGGCTTGGTTTTCTGGTGGGGTTGGGGGCCCGTCGTTTTGCCACATACTGTCGCCTCTTTTCGTGCGGTGCTGGCGGAGCCGCTTTGGCTTGCTTTCGGTCTTAGTGTTGCTTCTGCACTGTTAGTAAGCTGTCTCGTGCGTCGTTTCACCTCCAGCCTGTTCGTGCGCCCCTTGCACCATCCTGGTCTCTGGTCAGCGTGCTCTGTCTTCTCCTTGGTTGGTAGTGCCCCTTTGGCTCCAGTTTGTTTTTCGTAGGCTCTTTTTTTCCTTTTGGCATTTGCCTCTTGGGGTCGGGTCGCTGAGTTTTCTTGCTCCTTCAGTTTTAGTGTTTTGGTTGTTCGGTGGCAGCAGTCTCCATCTTTTCTGGCGTGGGGTGGGGCTGCT